GAGACTGAAGACAAGTACATTTCAATTCTGGTGTGAACATCAATAAGGCCAATGGAAATAGTAGGGACAAGGGAGGTACAACTTTATTCTGTCATATTGCTTTTTATTTTAACTGCTGTCAACAAAATGCTATTGTACTTGCAGTTAATCCAAATACGAGCATTTTCCAAATGAAATGTTCATAATATACCACCACTCAATATCTAAGCACCTACCACTCACCAACTCTCCCATCTAAAAGCCTATGCCAACCATCCATTTATGTACCGGTAACATAACACAAGAGTGGCATATTCTATAGTGAAAAATGCATTGGCAAGTATATACCGAATTCTGCCGTAAATTTGCCTGGGCGCTTTCACAGCTGGTGGGCGCTTACTTTGGGTTCAAAATTTCAAAAAATAATCATCAAATATTTTTTTGGGAATTCTATTTTCATTGAAAATCCAACTACGCAGACTTACAATGCCGGCAGTTGGGTCAGGACGAAATAAACTATTGCAGAAGCCACAGTCCCTCTGAGGGACTGTGCAGAAGCTTATCTAAAATTTGATGCATTTCTTGTCACCTGAAATTTCATAACAATGTCATTTTTCTCCAAAAAAATCACATTAACGAACCTGGTACGTCAAATACATTTTTTATTTATTTTATTGGTAACAAAAGTATATTCTAAACAAAGTTTCAAATAGAATGAACACAACTGCATTGCATAGTAGCAAATGATCACGGTTGTGCAATTGTTGATTATTACTCATAACGTACAACAAACATGCAGCCTGCTGGCTGAGATAGCTCTGCTGTTAGCAATGCACATTGCAATTAAAGAACAGAACTATGTATAGTATCGAAGCAATCAGACTTGCTGTTTTCAACAAGAATTCAAAAATATCACTTCACCAAAAATCATCAAAATTATATAATTGAAGATATCATCATGAAATGAACAAATCTGAGAGAGGTCCACATGTAGTACCTATATATGTAATATCAAAGCAATTGGACTTGAGGTTTTCAACAAGAAGTCGAAAATATCACTTTTTACCAAAAATGACAAAAATATTCACCAAAATTAGAGAATTGAAGATATCATCACGAAATGAACAACTCTGAGAGAGGTCCACATGTAGTACTTGTATATGTAATATCAAAGCAATCGGACTTGCGGTTTTTAACAAGAAGTCAAAAATATCGCTTTTTACCAAAAATGACAAAAATATTCACCAAAAATAGAGAATTTGAGATTTTGACATGAAATGAACAAATCTGAGAAAGAACCATCCAAGGTACTTGCATATCAAATTTGAAAACATTCTGACATGCGGTTTCGAAGAAGAAGTTGAAATTGTAGAGTTGACGCCGACGAATGACGGACAATCAGTAATATGAACAGCTCCGCTGTGTCGACTTTGTTGACATCAGAGCTAATAAAGTCGTTGAAAATTCAACTTAGTTTCATTGTAAGCAAATGATTTCGGTCGTATATAAACGCTCGATGATGTAGAGTATCTGCCATGTTCTTGTATGAGTTGACCTAATAGGTCGAATCGCTAATTAACCAATCAAAACGCTGGATGATGCTAACGTGTTCAAATCACCATAGCTCATTTAAATATGTTAATATTATTGAGCGCAAGCAACGTGCAAGAGATTTCCCCATGTTGTAATACGATCTTTTGGCTTGGATTTTGATGGGAAAACTGCATGATTTTTTTTCAAATAAAAAAAATAGTTGTTTTCAAAAGATAAACTGAGCATTAGAAGAATATTTTTATATTGTTTACAGTGATAACAACTAATGGCCGAAGCGAAGCTTACCCATTCACTCTAGTCACAATAAACATACTCTTGAATAAAAACTTAAATAGACTATTTTAGGCGTCAGGAATGTCCAAAAAATGATGCCAAAATATTTGTAAAATTTTTTAAAAACTGACGAAAAATCGCCCTTGGTCCCATTTTAGGAAAGAGTTCCTTTTGTACCCCCATCCCTAACCCTAACACTCACTCCCAGTTACCCAATTCATTTGTATATGCCCCCTCTAGATAACTATAGATGTCCTTAGGAGGGGCATG